TCGCTATGGGTTGGAACTGACTCCACGGCACATCACGGCCACCGAGCAGCAAATCTAAATCTATGGAGGTTAGAAGTCACTCACGAGAGAATTTATCAGAGTGAATTTCTGTTGCATGTTGCTGTTTAGGCTGCTTTATTTTCACTTCTTCCATCGTCTCAGGGTGATCTGAAAAAAGAAATACTAGGCTTAGGTTCTTCTACTAAGGGTACTATGCTACACATTAGGTCTCCAAAATCGAACACAACTCCTCCTCAGTGCTGGAGCCTACGCACATCATACCACACGATCCCAAGGAGGGCCATCTCCACAGCCTTGCAACCAACCAAATGACTCTCAATGACCCCCTGCCCCAGTTCCAGCTAACTGAACCAGCAAGGTATTTAAACCCAAGGCAGCCACCCCATGGACTGCCAACCAGCTAGAACCTGCCTGGAAAGGAAAATAAGCATCCTCAGATGTCTCTGCCAGGAATTCAGAAGGACCACTGGAGCTTCTCAGTCAGAATATGTACGGAGTAGGGCAGCTCCCAAAAGAAAGAAAGAAAGAGCAGGCCCCATATTTGCTGGCATGATACCTGGATACTTCAACAGCCCTGAATCTTTCCAGTCAAATCCTCAGTTATACTACTAGAGGACGATTAAGTGAGTTTACTTGAGATCAGTTGATCAGGATATTCAATTACAAAATCACAAGTGGAATTCCTACTATTCCTACTCCTTCAATTTTTTAAACTGCAGAATTAAAAAAAAAAAAAAAAATCCCCAAAATCCCTCTTAAGGCGTGGGGTGACATAAAGCTTTGTGAAAGCGAGGACACACACATTCTCTGCTCTCCATCCCCCCAGCAGGTGTCAGAGCCACACTTGTTTGCTCATGTTTGAAATGAGTCCAGACTAGCAAATGTCACAACGCTGCCTCACTGATTCAGGCCTTTAGACTATCCCTCTAGCCATCCTTGATGGATAGAAAGAGGTGTAGACCTTCTTATGGAAAGGGAGTTTTAACTCATGAACTGGAATTTCAAATTACCCACCTTTCCAAACAAGTGTCAACTGTCCCCACTGCCAGGGCTTCCTCATTACTCCCGGGGCTTAGTTTCTATCTGCATGCTCACCTCGGTCTCCACTTAGCCAGGTTTGAACCCGTTTCTCCGCTCTATCATCAGGCCACATGTTCTTCAGCCTCTCCTCCCTCACACTGTTCAGAGCTGCCACCAATCTTCTTCCAATACTAGCTCCCCCAGTGTCAGCCATCAGACGACACATTTTATGAATTTAAGGATTACGACAGTCCTGTCCTGGTCCAGGGTCTCTCCCTAGCAACCATCACAGTACCTGATACATAACAGGTACCCAGTAAAAGTGGGTCGAGCAAACGAATGACTAAATAAGCAGTTGAATGAACGAGCTTCAGAACTTCAGAAAAGTTAGAAAATCACACAGAAGAAGGCTGAATGACAAGGACTTCTAGAAACACAATAATTCAATCATACAGTGAGGCAAATAAGCTTTTGTGGATTCAACTGTCAGCAGATCAGTTTTTAAAATGTTTACATAATTCACTCCAAATACTAAGTGACTGATTTTCCTGGTATTTCCACATTAGGCCTTGATACAGCCTTGAGAGCAGGGTGTAAGTTTCCATCTTAGAATCTGGTGTCAGCCCACTGACAAAGTGAATATGCTGATTACATACGTCTTCTGCTTCCATCTATGTTTTCAATGACTCTGACAGAGCACAGGGTTTTGTTTATAACAAAATACTATGGCTATTTTTTCATTACAACGACATGAGCGAGACACTTTGGTTCACGTTCAATTCCAAAAGCCCCCATCATCATGGAGTTCCCCAGAGTGAGAACTTTTGGAAACATGTGGGCACATTCTGAGTTAGGACAAGAACCAAAGAAAGGTAGTACCATTAAGGGTTTAGGACCAAGGATATTAGGTAAGCAACATATAGAACAGGCAAATACAACTAAGAATTGTACGGTCCTAAATGCCACTGGTGCTGAGCCAGAGGAAGGAACAAATTCGGCAAGAGTCAGAAATAATCACTAGAAGAGACAGACGAGCAGAGATTAGCAGATGGGCTCTGAGTCAGTCAGACCAAGGTGCAAATGCCTTTCCAAATGCATGGTGGAGAGGTGCCAGGGGTAAGTTACTCAGTCTTTTTCTGTTTCTGTGTTCCCGTCTGTAAAGAAGTCTCATAATAGTGTCTATATTGCAGGGTTTTTAGATGCAAAAATTAAGATCCTATCCAGGCAAGTGCTCACTCAATGTTACATATTATGATTAGCTTTTCTTAAAAAGCTGTCTGCTGTTATTTATTGGTGTTATTAAGTGCCATCGAGTCTGTTCCGACCCATCGCGGCCCTGTGTATGGTTTCCAAGGAGCAGCTGGTGAACTTGAACCACCAACCTTTGTAGTATCAAATGGCTTTGCAGTTTGGCGCATTAACCCACAGCGCCACACCAGGAATCCACTGTTATTTATTAAGGAGGGGAAAAAAATCAGCCTTTGCCTCTTCTGCTTGTAGGACAAAAATGTAATCCATCCCCCTCCAAACACTGAGAAATGTCACTACCTCAAGGTAGTCTAGCAGTGTTTAGGCAACACATTATTCTTAGCTTCTCTTCCCAGACTTCATTTTCTCACTTGTTTTTCTTACTTTTCAGTCATTAACTAGCATACTTACCACCTTTTGCCCCAGTATCAGAATAACTGCTGCTGTTCTTAGAACTTTTGGAGTGAGTCCCCAGGAATACACTTGCAGACTTGTTTTTTTGGGTATAAAAAGTCAACACTTCTTCTAGTTCAGCCTCACTGAAATGAGGAGAAAAAGTATGGTCAGAACAGGAAGCTGTTCTGGAAAATATCTTTCCACTAAGATTTTATTATAGATGAAAACGGAGTTAGCTGGAGAAGGGGGGAAAGAGAGGTATAAGCTGAAAACTCCCTACTAATGTGTGGTTAAAACAGAATATAAAGGGAAGAAGTCGAAAAAGTTTAAAACATGATAATGCTCTATTCACTCCATTAAGGCCAATTTTCTAGATCTACACTCTATAAAGTAACACCCGCCAGCCATATATGACCATTTTAATTAAAACTTCAATGACATAAAATGGAAGATTCTATTTCTCAGTGATACTAGCCACATCTCAAGAGCTCAACTGCCCTATTGGACAGCTATGTTTTAGATCAGCGCCTGTTGTGCTATGGCCCCCAGCTAAGAATGCTTTTTATATTTGAAAGAGTATGTGACAAGGGGCATATGTAGCCTGCAAACACTGAAACAGTTCTTATCTGGCTCTCTGCAGTTGGTCCACTACTCTCTTAGGTCATTAAAGTATAGCGACTAAAGAGGCCACAGTTCATTTTAACTGCCTGTGTCAGAAAGAAGGACACCCACCTGGAGCCATTCCATATCTGTACAATACAGGAGGCTGAACTAAATCAGCTCTGAGCTCATTTCAAATCATTAAGATATCTGCTTCTTTGCACACCCACAAAATGCAAAGTCTAAGAAAAGAGATGACGGTTTATGGGATTACTCCAGGAAACATTTCATGCATGGATTTGGTAACATCTACTGTGGCTTCTTAAAAGCGTTTTTCTCTTTTTCTCTCCCTAGAACTTGACTATGTTCTAGGTAGGTGGTCTTGAAATATGTAAAGCATTGCTGCATTAGAAAAAAAATGCCAAGCCTGGATCCCATCTTCAGAAAGAACGTGAGAAATCCTAGGAAACTGCCTATATGTATCTCAGAGTAAACCCAAAGGTATCCAAAGCAGCTGAGTACCACAAGGGAGTACAGCTCAAAAAGAGGTAACTTCCAAAGTTCGAAAGCTGAGGCTGCAAGCTGGCAGCTGCCTCTGCCAGTCCATGTGTTTTATTTGGTTCTCCACAGGATATTAAAAGGCAAAGGTTAATGCTGCTCAATATACTTAGCTGTTTGACCTGTCGGGTTATCCTCTCCCTACTCCAAATGTTGGTACCTTCCTGACTCCTGCAGGTAATTGAATTTACCAACCTTGACAAAAGTATCCATGTGTCCACTCCAAACTGAATAAATGAACTGATGCTGTCTCATATTTCCCAACTATCAACATCTAATCTGCAATCAGTAGTAAACAGTACCAACATATTTTATCTTCAAACCAATATCCTTAGTTAATAACCATATAATTCATTTTAAGTTATCAGTTAGACTGAACAGTGGAATGCACATCACTTTTTTTTTTTTTAAACAAAGGTTTTCCGTTCATTTTTTTGTATTTTAGATATTTTGAAGAAAAAACCCTAGGTAATAACCAGAAATTAATTTTTTTTAGCTCTAAAGGTAGAGCCATTTTCTAAACATGATTTAATTATTTACCTTTCCCAATTTTCTAAGGGTATCTTGCTTTGTTTCCATATCTGTTTTCTCAATCATATTACACAAGACCCAAGAATGTCAACAAAATAACATTAGACAATTATGGACTCTTACAAAATGATGGATCTGCTATGTGTTTAAGCCAGTGATACTGAGACGACAAGGTACAGAACAAAAACCATACTATGCTGGCAACTGATAAACTGGTACCGACTCGATGGCATCTAGCAACAACAAAAATCTAATTTAATGCCACTATTATTCAAATTTACACACAAACCACTACAGCCAGTGAGTCTGACATAGAAGAAGTCTACCAACTTCTTCAATCTGAAACTGATCAAACATGCAATCAAGAGAAACAAAGAGGAAGGATCAGTAGTTGGAAAATATGATCTTGGTGACAGGCATCATGCTGCAGATGGGATGGTAGAATTCTGCAAAACTAATGATTTGTTCATCTCAAATACCTTTTAAAACAGCTTAAGAGATGACTATACTCATGGACCTTACCAAATGGAAAACACAGAAATCAAACTGACTCCATCTGTGGAAAGAGAAGATGGAAAAGCCAGGGGCAGATTGTGGAGAAGACCATCAATTGCTCATATGCAAAATCAAATTGAAGCTGAAGAAAATGAAAAAAAGTCCACGAGAGCCAAAATATGACCTTGAATATATCCCGCCTGAAATTAGAGATCATCTGAAGAACAGATCTGATACATTAAACACTAAAGACCGAAGACCAGAAGAGTTGTGGAATGACATCAAGAACATCATACAGGAAAAAAGCAAAAAGTCACTGAGAAGAAAAGAAAGAAGGAAAAAAGGTCAAAATGGATGTCAGAAGAGACACTGAAACTTGCTCTCCAACATAGAGATGCTTCTGCAAACGGAAGAAATGAGGAACTCTAAGAGCTGAACAGAAAATTTCAAAAATCAGCTCAATAAGACAGAGTCAAATACTACAATGAAATGTGCAAAGATCTGGAGTTAGAAAACCAAAAGGGAAGAACATACTCAGCATTTCTCAAGCTGAGGGAACTAAAGAGAAAAATTCAAGCCTCTACTTTTGTTATTGAAGGATTCTCTAGGTAAATAACTGAATGATGCCGAAAGCTTCAAAAGAAGATGGAAGGAATATACAGAGTCACTGTACTACAAAAGGAAATGGTCAATGTTCAACAAGTTTCAAGAGGTATCATATGATCAAGAGCCAATGATACTGAAGGAAGAAGTTCAAGGTACAATGAAGGAATTGGCAAAGAACAAGGCATTGGGAATTGATGGAATCAAAATTGAAATCTTTCAACACAGTGAGGCAGCACTGGAGGCACTTACTCACCTATGCCCAGAAACTTGGAAGACAACTATCTGACCAACTGATTGGAAGAGAGCTGTATTTGTGCCCATTCCAAAGAGAGGTGACCCAACGGAATGAGGAAATCATAGAACAGTATCTTTGATATCCCATGAGAGTAAAGTTTTACTCTCATACAGAAATGGCTGCAACCATACATTAACAGAGAACTTCGAGCAATTCAAACCAGATTCAGAAAAGGACGTGGAACGAGGAATATCATTGCTGATGTCCGATGGATCTTGGCTGAAAGCAGAGAGTATCAGAAAGATGTTTACCTGTGCTTTATTGACAATGCAAAGGCCTTTGTGTGGATCATGACAAGCTATGGACAACAGTGCAAAGTATGAGTATTCCAGAACACTTAATTGTGCTAAGGAATCTGTACATGGACCAAGAGGCAGTTCAAACAGAACATGGGAACACTGAATAGTTTAAAATCAGGAAAGGTGTGCGACAAGGTTGTATTCTTTCATTATACTTATTCAATCTGTATGCTGAGCAAATAATCAGAGAAGCTGTGTTATATGAAGAAAAACGTGGCATCAGGATTGGAGGATGACTCATTAACAACCTGTGATATGCAGATGACAAAACCTTGCTTGCTGAAAGTGAAGAGGACTTAAAATAATTACTGGTGAAGTTCAAAGAACACAGCCTTGGGTATGGATTGCATCCCAATGTAAAGAAAACAAAAATCTTCGCCACTGGACCAATAAACAACATTCTTATAAATGTAGAAAAAAAAAAAAAAAAAAAAAAAAAAAAGAAGTTGTCAACTTCATTTTTCTTGGATCAACCATCAACACTCATCGAAGCAGCCGTCAAGAAATCAAAAAACATATTGCATTAGGAAAATCTGTTGCACAAGACCTTTTTAAAGTGTTGAAGAGCAAAGATGTCAGCTTGAGGACTAAGGTATGCCTCACCCAAGCCATGGTATTTTCAATCACCTCATATGCATGTGAAAGCTGGACAGTGAATAAGGAAGATCATAGAAGAATTGGTGCATTTGAATTATGGTGTTGGAGGAGAACATTGAAAGTGCCACGGGCTACCAAAAGAACCAAAAGATCTGTGTTGGAAGAAGTGCAGCCAGAGTGCTCCTTGGAGGTTAGGATGGCCAAGCTTCATCTCTCTTATTTCAGACATATTGTCAGGAGGGACCAGTCGCTGGAGAGGGATATCATATTTGAAAAGGTGGAGGGTCAGAGAAAAAGAGGAAGAGCCACAGTGAGATGGATTGGCAAAGTGGCAGCATCAAGGGGCTCAAGCGTGAACAATTGTGAAGTTGCCCCAGGACCAGGCAGTGTTTTGTTCTGTTGTGTATAGGGTCGCTATGAGTTGGTACTGACTCGGTGGCACCTAACAACAACAACAATCTAATGTCACAAATCAACAGAGTTTATTATTCTACAGTGCTTTTTTCCACTGTGACTTTGATGGTGAAGTCCAGTTGACAGGGTTATACAGAGATTTTATTCTTCATTTCAGTGGTTCTGCAAACTCTGTTTTAGAAAACAGCTTTCTGGTGTGAATCTTAGAAAATTACAATTAAATGCCTTTATTAGCTTTTCTTCAGGGAATATACTACAATGGACACACTGGTTTGGCTGATGGGTATCAGGATAGAAATGAATGCCAATGCCGAAATTTTCAATCCATAAGTACTAACTGTAAGCATAAAACTTGTTCTATTTTATGTAAATTAGCCATAAACCGCAGAGTGCTGAGTAACTGCCAATTTCTCAATCCCCTCAATGTAGGCAAAATTTGGTCACCACCGCAATATCAATAGGTCAGGGATAAATTTGGAACCAGTAAACACAAGAAGCCTCAACTTCCTAAAAAAACCTGAGTACTTAAAATGGTATCTACTTTGAAGCCTGTTCAGAAACACAGCCCAGATACCCAGAGCAGGGCTTTGATAACTGAAACCCTGGTAACAGGAGCAACTGACTGAAATGTGGAGCCCAGCCTGGGAACCTTCTTCTCCTTCTGACAGTGACTTCACTCATACCCGTGGTGTCAGGAACAAAGGAGTATTTGGAACTCAATAAGGGCAGCCTGAGAGAGGGTATTAGATGGTATTTATTAGCCAAAGAAGGTCTTCTACCTTGCTTGTTTGATGAACTCCTGAAAGTTTTCTGTATTCACCCCGTCTTCCTCTTCTTCCTCAAGTTTCTTCTTCGATTTCTTTTCAGCCATTTGTTCTGTTTCCTACCCAACCCCCACAGAAAAACAGCAAGATGAAACTGACCCCTGATAAAGGTACACTTACTTCTTCGTCTGTTTCATTACCCTTGAAGTAGCTTGTCCTTATAGTAAAGACACTTAGTTCCCTCCATGTATTTTGCTATCTATACATGTGACACACTATTTCTACCATTATTTCATGAACCGTTCTTAAATTTCCAAGTACAAGTTGCATAATGAATGCAAATTTACCATGCTTTTGCTTTCTACTACTTTCAATAGTCCACTGAGAAGAGAACTTTGGATAGGAGCTTACTTACGTCTGTCACCCATTTACAGCTTTAACAGTGTAACAACAGAGATATTGTACATTACTACAATTAAAGGAGAAGAAAGACAACCCTTGAAAGATACTCTAATGCCAATATCCAAATTGAGCCAATTATTTACTACATAAGGCATAACATTATTGTCAACAGCCTGGAGAGTAAAGTATACATAGGGACTTGGGCCTTCATAGCCTTTAACCATTCCTCACAACTTTAGAAAGTCATTTAAGTTTTTTAGGTCTTAGATTTTCCTTCCACTAATTGATCATAGTTTTGATCCTCCTCCTGCCCAAATGTTATTTCTAAAGCATTGTGAGACTCTTGGATATAAAATGCTGGACATCAGCATATACAAAGTTTCAGAGTATAAAGTGTAATTCTCTCCAGAAAGAATATGTCTTTATTATTAAATCCACAATTCAGATTTGCTCTCAGTCAGCACCCCCATGGTCTACAGGAACAATAACAAAGCCAATTATTCATCCAGGCCAGGATTCATCTCAAGTATGGTAGTGCTCAGAAGGAATGTGCTTTAAATAAGCCTTAACTCTGGCCACTGGGCCTTCAGAAGTATACTAGTAGCTTATCAGCCCAGCTGGGTTAAAATGTAAGGAATCCTGGTAGCACCGTGAGTTAGACACTTGGCTGCTAGCTACAAGGTTGGCGGTTCAAACCCACCCACCGCTCTGCAGGGAAAAGATGAGTCTGTCTGCTCCCATAAAGATTTATAGTCTTGGAAACCCTTTCGAGGGTCACTATGAGTCAGAATCAACTGGATGGTAGTGGTGGGGTAGGTGTGGGGCCCTGCTCCCCAGGACAGTGATACACAAGGGATGATGATACCAGAGAAGAGAAAGACCTGTCCACCCAGACAGGCTTCTCAATGGTTTTGGACAGAGCATAGCAACCCAAAGCATGCAACTAACGAGTAAATCCCTTACCTTGTTGTACACAAAAATGAAGTCACCCAGTTGGTGGGCCAGGATTCTCCTGCGTTCTAGAAGTGCCAGTCGTCGACTGGGTAATACCATCCGCAATGACTGATGGAGGTTGCTTGATGCTCGCTTAAGGAAACGAACCACCAGTTCCTATAAATCAAAGAGCCAGGGGGAGGAAAACAGAGATCGTATTAAACCGACAGAAGACAACCTATGAAGGCACTAGACAACAGGGGTGTGAGAAGAGGTATAATATATTTCAACAAATAAATACTCAGAAGATATAACAAAGACATAGTAAAAAAAGAAAAAAAGACACTATTGTCTTGCCTCAATAAATTACCAATCAAAAAAATCAAAAGTAAATATGTATGCAAATAATAATGGTCTAAAAGTTGTGTTGTAAAGTACCACAATCCATATAAAAATTAAACTGTAATAATGAAAAGAACAAATATCATTTCTGATAGGGTGAGCAAAGGAAGCTATTTAAGGAAGACTGAATCCAAGGATAGTTAGTGGAAACTAAAACCATGGGAACAAAAAAAAAATGGAAAGTGAGAAGGTAGAGAAAGAATACAGAAATATTCATACTTCGGGATAAGTGAAAGGAGAAATAATTTAAAACAAACAAACAAGCCAAGGCAGAAACATCAGAAATGTCAGAAAGGAATAAAGGAGAAAGCAATGTCATGGCAATCAAGGAGGTTCCCATGTCAAATGCTTCCAAGAGGCCGGAAAGGACCCTAGATCTAGCCAGCCATTACAAGAGAACACGTTCAGTAGGATGAAGGGGCTAGAAAGCAAGAGGCTGAGAGATAATAAAAAAATATAGGTGATGTGTAGAAACTGCTAATTTGAAAAGCTGAATGATAAAGGGGATGAAAAAACTGCCATAGCGACTTGAAAAGTGGTATATATATATATATATATTTTCTTCTTCCTCAAGGACGGGGAGCTTTTAGAGTTGGCAAGGAGAACACATTGATTATCAAAGAGTAAAAAGGATACACCTCATTTGACATGGGGCCAAAGAACTCTGAAATCTGTACAGACACCAATTGGATCATTCATAGTATCACAAGTGCTTCAAAGAAAGGTTTTACAAGGCTAAGGATCTTTAAGACAGTTGTCTTCAACATATTAAAAGTGTCTACAGATATAATGGCTTTGAGGACCGTCTGTTGATGTGCTTCTGTGTGGTTTGTGACCAAGAATCTCCAACCCTAATCTGGACTATGAGGGCAGTTTGACATAAGCAAAGCCATGTCACAATCATCAGGGAAGAGGCTAGGGTTTGCTCTCTAGACATGTTTTCAGAAACAACGTCACAAAACAGCTAGTGAGTTTTGCGGTGATCAGCTCACATGTTCTTGCTGGAGTAGAAAGCCCCAGAGAAATACTGTGAGAATTCCCAGTCCGTATTTGCAGGAGCTCCTCTCTTCTATTTTTTAGTGCCTGAATTTGATTTGGGCTCCTAGTCCTTTTTACGCCGGTTTACTCTAGCATAAAGGAATAGTCTCACGACCAGAGGGTTGGATTTCATAGTTCTACTCAGCTGTCTCTACTACAGGATGGTTTAAGCTGTTCTATTAAAACATTATTTTTTCACAGTGGAGCAGACAAACAGACTCTCGAAAAGGCAGTTTCAATTTTCCACTTGGAAAGAGCCGAGCTAATATTTTCCACTGATGGTTGAAGGATTATTCACAACATACAAGGTTTTATCTCTGGGCTCAATTGGTTTCTTTAAATTCATGAGCTGCTTTTTACAGTAAGCCTGACAGAAAGACCTGCCTTTTGTACAAGGACTAAAAATGACAGCAATCAGTGCCACACTGAAGAAAGCAGCTCTCTCAGACTCAAAGGCCCCTTTCTCTTCTTGGTGACAAATCCCTACTGCTACAATATTTAAGAAAGGGTTATGACTTCTTCTATACACACTGACCTTACCAAAGGGCTTGGAGCAGTCCCTGTCAATCCTACCCAAAAAGAAAAATCTTGCTTCTTTTATACACAGCCTGGAGTTCTGGGGTGGCGCTGTAGGATAAGCACTTGACAATAAAGTTGGTTTGAATTGCAAGGTGGGCAGTTCAAACTCACCAGCCACTCCTTGGAAACTGTATACAGGGTCGCTATGAATCAGAACGAAATTGATGGCACTTAGCAACAACAACAACAAAAATTGTATAAAAACACAACTGCTGTTGTTAAGTGCCATCGAGTTGGTTTCGATTCATAGTGACCCACATAAATAGGAGTCCTGGTGGTGTTGTTGTTTTAAGTGCCACTGAGTTGGTTCTGACTCATAGCGACCCTGCACAGGGTTTCTAAGGTCTACTGACCTTGGGTTAGCAGTCCAGTGCTTATCTTACAGTGCTACACCAGGACTCCAAAGTCACAACTACAAATTTTAAAAAAGTTAAGTTGAAGGAATGGCGAGAAAATCTAAAATAAGATGCTGCCTTTCAAGGCACTCATCTGACCCCCTCAGGACTGAAAACAGTGCCTCTGATGCATGAAGACCATGGAACAGCAAAGGATTCACAATTACATCTGGACCCAAGTTTAGTTTCACCACATAACAACCTGCAAGACAACACGCAAGTTACCTTCCTTGTCTTCTCATCTGTAAAATGGGGTTGCCAATGACTACTCTAAAGAGCTGATAAGACATGAGGCTGCCTGACAAGGGATTCTGGAAGGTGTTGTTCTTTCTGAGGGCTTTGCACAGGGATTGGCACTGAGTGACTAGTCACTTTCCATTTTTAGAACGAAATAAACTGATGCCCTCGTTACCTTCAGATGACCAGCATGGCTCCAGAGAGAAGACTAGGGCTTCACATTAAAGCAAGACAACCCTAACCCTATACTATGTAAGAATTCTTCCCGCCAATACATTGCTCTATGCTCTATTACTCTTAACCCTACTAGGAAGAGAAAGAGAAGAAAAGAAAAAGAAAAAGGGAAAATATAACAGTCCCAACAAGAGGAGCCTCACCATCTGTTCGTCCTCTTTGGCAGCCCAACTGGCACTGAACGTTTGATCTCCACTGTCTTGCATCAGGCGGGTCTGAACATGCTGGAGATAGGCAGAGAATGCTATTCGGGCCTGCACTTTGCTATAGAAATCCAAAACAACATTCCGTTAGAAGACAGAAGGGTAAGCCTACTACAAGTGTACTTGCCTGTCTCACATTGGTGTTTAACGATCTTTCTGTCAGGGAGGCTACGAAATATGAAGTCCATCGTTTAGTCACTGAATAGATTCCTTCTAAAGAGCACATGAGTTTTTTTTGTTTTATATCTTTTCTATTAAAAAAACCTGAGATGGAGATTGCTATTTATTTTCTCATTAGCAGCGGGG